GGGGGGAGGGAAGTAAGGATAGAGATCAGTAGAGGAAGGGAGAGAGGAGAGAGTATATTATAAGATGAGAGAGAGAGATTGGATTTGATTGATTGAATTGTTTGATTTGATTGATAAGGTGTAATAGTTAAATTCAAAATTTAACCCTAGACCACTTTAGCTTTAACGCGCTCAAAATGACCAAAAATAACACTGATCCTCAGCAACTGACTTCTTATTCTCACCTCTCAGCTGTCCCGTCGACTACGAAATTTTGGGAGGCTTTGAGTATGAATCAAGCAAGACGAAAGCCATCGTCCGTTTCCAGGCCCACAAGTTCCCGTACACCTCGTCTGTCTACTATCAGTGCAACGTCAAGCTCTGTATCAAGAACGCGGGAGGCTGCGATGATGTGGTCAGTATTTCGCTGATGAAGTGCTGTCATGTAGAATGTCGAGAAATTTGTTGCAGTTATCATCTGATGTTGGCGTGTTGTTATCACACACACACACGATCACACACTAATACATACATATATCGTAAATTAAGTTATGTAATCACACAGGTAACCACACATTATATTATCATTTTTAACACATATATCTTTACATATATTATTAAAATTTATATAAATATATGACATTATTTATATACCCACACACATCACACACACTACAGCGACACACCATAATCATACTATCTACACCTCCAATACCTACATAATGTTATTTTGCAAAACGTTCCTCATATATCATGAACATAATACGCAAGTAGCTAGTGACTGTTACTGTTCATATATATAAGTGCAGATGGAATTAAGTAATCATTCACCAACTCACTCCCACCTTCCATGACCTTCCGGATGACAGCCGGCTCACGTGTGCTGTGGTAGGGAGCAGAACGGTCGCTGAGGCGTCTGACCGCAGGGCCGTGGTCGGAGGATCGTAACGGGCTAAACTGGTAACCCTGAAGGAGGTGGATGAGCCGTAAACGTTCGACAGAGAAACATTCAATATTGATAGGTCTTGTCACGTGGGCTCAATATACGATGTGATAGTCAACGAGATGGATGACGGTAAGGTTGTATTTACTTCCTGTAAGAGAGAACTTTATGTTGTTGGTAGCTAGTATAGCCGCTGTTTGTAATTAACTGTAACTACTATTATTAGTAGTAGTATTAATATTATATAATTGATTATTGTTATTTTGATTTCGTGCATATTTAATTATCATTGAGTTATGATTAATATTTAACGTTATGTGTTATCATTATTTACTGTATTTATTATTATTATTAATTAATTATTATTAATTATTATACTTGTATTATTATTATTTTCTATCAGTCATCGTTTTTAAATTGATAATATTTTGCCTATCATCATCACATATGAATCATCATCATATCAGTCATCATATTACTATCCATGCATAAGTAATTCAATCATTAATATCAATCATCGATCCAAATCATCATCATTCATAATCATATCTATCACTATATAATTACATAATCCATACATAATCATCATCATTTACATCATCTATCATCTCATTACTATAATCATATGTACATCATCATCATTCATCATCATCATCATCATCATCATCATCATCATCATCCATCATCATTCAATCCCCATTTATTGTTAATATTACTATATTACTGTTGTTCATATTATTTAGTATTGTGTAAATGTTGTTATTAAGATATTACCATCATCGTCATCATTAGTAGTAAGTAGTAAGTAGTAGTAATTTTGGTCGCGTTGGTTTTTAGTTTTGTTTGTTTCCATTGACTAGAAGGATAATAAAAAGGTAATGAATATATATTTTTTTTTAACTTACAGAGGTGTGATCTAAATCTAACTTAGAATTTCATTAAATTTTGGGTGGTGATCCGGACCCAGGAAATTTTTTGCTGATTTATATTATTAGCCGTTTGCTTTGCCTCCGCCATGGAGGTTATCGTTATGGACGTCACCCATGTACTTGGAGAAGGGGATTTTAATGTAATTCTTTTAGTATTAATATTTTCATTGCATCAGTGATCCTATTGCCTTGGTGGAGGTATGCGCTCTGAGTTATTATCATCATCATCATCATCATCATCATCACCATTATCTTTTTATTATTATCATTATCTTATCATTATCAGCATTGTTATTTTTTTATCTATTATTATTATTATTATTATTATTATTATTATTATTATTATTATTATTATTATTATTATTGCTATCATTATAATTATTTTATGTTATTGTTATTATTATGATGATGATCACACGATCATTGATTTATTATTATTATTATTATTATTATTATATATATTATTATTATTATTATTATTATCTATTATTATTATTATTATTATATTATCATCATTCATCATCATCATCATCATTATGAGTGTTGTTATTATTGTTATCATCATCATTATCATTATTATTATATAATAATAATAATTATTATTATTATTGTTATTATTGTGTTATTACTATTATTATTGTTATTATTATTATTGCTGTTAGTATTGTTTTTATTATCTATATTACCATTACTATTATTTTTATCACCATTATTATTTTTATAGTTGCCATTATTATCATTACAATTGTTATCATTTTTATTGTTGTTGATATTTTGATTATTACAGTTTCTATTTTTAGTTCGTAACACTGACTGGACTAAAACGGAATGCATATCCAGAAATAGCAAAACATTTCGCTAGTAAAACCGGTACCTTTGTCCGTCATTGCAGCAGATCCCAGATCCCGAGCAAGAGATCCTGACCCCCATTAAGGAAGAGCTGGAGGACGACCCCAACACCTTCTGTCTTTCCCCAAAAACGTTCGCCATCGGCATCGCTATCGCCGGCCTCCTCCTGATGGTGGCCGTGATCGCTGCCATTCTCATCCTGATCTCCCGCCGACGCAGAAGGAAGGAGGACTCAACCACCGGATCTTCCATCTATTCGAGCCCTTACACTAACACGGCCTACAGTCACTCGTCGTAGGGCACATGAGAATGAATCTATGGGGCAGATCAGACCGAAGGAAGAGAAGAAAAAGGCCAAGGAAAAAGAAAGTAGGAAATGGAAAGGACAGGAAAGATTTTTGTTTTTCTGTGACCTGATGGCCCTTTTCCCTGTCATTTATATCCGTAGTCCGTGATAAATATTCATCGACTCCATTTTTATATGAATCGGATAGTATGTGATACTCGGTGGATAACCAGTGAATTTGTTTTGAAAACGGAGCAGTAAGTGAAGCGAATCTCATGAAAGGTGATCGTATCGGTGCAGAAACAAAAGACGAACACCTTTCATTTCATTTCAACACCTGAAAGTGCTATGGCAGATTCCACATTAAACCACCACAGAATTTTCATTCTAAATGTTTATCCTTTTCATAGATATACTCAATAGTTTACCAAAATCCAATAACTGAAAAGCCTTTAGAAGGTATTGTTTAAAATGGTGTTCCGGTATTAACAAATTGATTATAGATGCGCATGAGAAAAAATATAGCTTTACATATTGACTTACAACTGATTAGATTTTTTACTAGGCATATTGTTTAATGACAGCTTCTGTGCCCATTTCCATGCTCCATGTTTGACATAACTTTTTTAATGAAATATATAGCTGAACTTACTAACAGGTTGTGATTCTGGTGTTGTAGAGGATGAGGGGAAACAAAAGAAGGAAAAGAGCGGCGTAAGTATGCTAGGCTGTGTCTCTGATTTTTTCGTTTCCTGGAAGCAAAGTCGTCTCATTACGACAATTTTTCTTTTTAATATCATTTGGCTTCACAGGTTCAGTTGAATTCGCATAGGTTGGGATATAATAATGAAAATTTTCTCTCTTTGTTCGCATCAATGGCCATGCGAAAGGTCAGTAGAGGTTTTGGGAGTTCCAGCGAGACATTTGGATCTAAAATTCAGACTTCATATGCGGCTTTGTGAAATGCCCAGTCCTTTCATACGCAGCCTGGCGTTACCATAGCATTATCGGTTAAATGGCACTTGACACCCATTCCGGTTCTATTTCTATGGTTCGGTTTCCCCGTTCATTTTCTTTTTTGTAAAAGTCTCCCCTCTCTTCTCACCCTACTTATCATACTCCGTCCATTGAAGATAACTTATAATATCAGCATGTATGATTTTTTTTTAGTAGTAGGGCGACTGCGGCATAAGTGACTTAAAATATGAAAACTCGCTGGCTGTCCAAACGTGATTTGTGTGTCACCGGCCTGTGTTGGTTTAGTTGTTTCCCATCTACCCATCCCCCATTGAACACAGACCGCTTCCCCCATCCGCTAATTGTGGATGGTATTAACAAGAAATACTAAAGTAAGGTTTTGATTATGTATGAGGAACACGATGGCCGCGATCTACATAATAACCGACTTGGAAAGAGATGCGAACACTGTGACAAA